TGCATAGAATGGGTTTATGTCTAGCAATGGTGGTTTTTATGCTTCTTGGTGCTGCGTCTCCTCTGAACGAAGAAGGTTTTTCTTGTGATCTTTGTCCAAAGTTTGAATTTTTTTGGGTCATATTGTCTGAAAAAGGTCTCATTTTTTTGATGGGTTGTGTAGAAATTAGGGTTTAAGCGGTTTTCTGAACCCTGCAAAAGATTGTACCTTTTCCAATTTCTCTCCGTTTCCCGAGTAAATTTTTTAAAAAAAGGTCACGAATCCCTAGTTTGGGTTATGGAAGCACTGAAATTTAACGAAATTTCTTGTTTCTGTTTATCTAATTGTTTATGGATATTTAAGTATTAGACTGAGTTTCGCGTTTCAAACGATTTGATTATTCTAATTGAATCTATTCTTCAATTTTTTTTAATTCTTCAGGGAAAGCTTTGATGGCGATTAAAGGGTCTTTCAGCAACTTGGTGAATATGCTTTTGGATTGGGACGATGTTCATAGCAATGACTTCTGTTCTTGGCGAGGTGTCTTCTGCGACAACGTTAACTCCTCCGTTGTGTCTTTGTAAGACTTTTGCATTGTTGAATAGTCTCTCTATTAGTTAATGCTGATAACAGAAATATTCTTCATTAATAGTAAATGTACAATACATTATGCTTATATACTAAGTCCCTAATCTCTCTATACATTTGATGTACACGTATGTATATACAACAACTATACAAAAACTATATACACACTATTACTCTCTATTTTTAGATTCTCTATCTGCAGGTCTTGTAATTTATCTTCTTTAATGTGAAGGAATCTATCCAATCTTAATCTTGGAGGGGAGATATCTCCAGCTGTTGGAGATTTACGGAATTTGCAATCAATGTAAGTGTGTTATGTTGTGTTTATCTGTGTGGATTTTTTGCATGTTTGAAAAGTGTGATTGTGGTTTTTAAAAAGTTTTTATCCAATATATGCAGAGACTTGCAAGGAAATAAATTGGCTGGTCAAATTCCTGATGAGATTGGAAACTGTGCTTCTCTTGTTCATCTGTAAGTCTTGAAGAACAGATCTTTTTAAGAAAGTTTTAAATTTTCAAGTTTGTTGATTTGAATTCCAATTTATTTTTTTGTACAGGGATTTCTCTTATAATTTGTATGCGTTACACTGTTACCGTTTTCTGATTTTTAAGTTCCATTTTTGTCATCTTGTTCATTTTATCAGGAACCTAAAGAACAATCTGCTAACAGGCCCAATACCAGCAACCTTAACTCAGATTCCAAACCTTTCGACACTGTGAGTTCTTTGCTTACACCATTTATTCATCAAAGCATATAAGTTAAACATATTATTAAGATTTCCTAATCATGAGGTTGCAGTGATCTTGCATGGAACCATCTAACAGGTGAAATACCAAGGTTGCTTTATTGGAATGAAGTTTTACAATACCTGTAAGTTTATCACAGTCATCTTCTCCAAGCTCTTTATACCATATATAAGAGAAGGTTTTTCTCCTTCTGATGCAGTCTCTTTGCAGGGGTTTACGCTGGAACATGTTAACTGGAACATTGTCTTCTGATATGTGTCAGCTAACCCGTTTGTGGTTCTTGTAAGTTGAACTAGCTCTCGCCATCTTTTGAGTCTTGTCCTTCTTTGTTCTATGAATTTCTTAGTGTGTTTGTTTTTACTTGTTGTGTTGTTTATAGTGACGTGAGAGGCAATAATCTAACTGGAAGTATCCCGGATAGCATTGGAAACTGCACAAGCCTTGAAATCCTGTATGTGCCTTCATCTTATGGAAAAACATTAGACATCAAGAATTGAACTGTATTGTGGTGGACTCATTTCTTTTGATTTTTCAGGGACATATCTTACAATCAGATAACTGGTGAGATACCTTACAATATCGGTTCTCTCCAAGTCTCGACTCTGTGAGTATATAGTTTCTTTGCGCTTTGTATGATTTCGATGAATGTAATCATGCGGTTATTGAAGTTGTATTTTTTTTTTTCAAGGTCACTACAAGGAAACAGATTGACTGGTAGAATTCCGGAAGTTATTGGTCTAATGCAAGCTCTTACTGTTTTGTAAGTTCAGTTAGTATGTTAGTAACACCAAATTTACATTGATTTTTCGGCCAATCTGACTATGTGGAAACCTATTCAAATTCCCAGGGATTTGAGTGACAATGAGCTAGTTGGTCCTATCCCACCGATACTTGGCAACCTCTCATTTATCGGAAAGTTGTGAGTCTCCTTTGTACAAAACCATAGTATGCTTCATATATTCAGCTCCTGGCATATATATATGAATACATGTTTTTGTCGGAATAGGTATCTTAATGGCAACATGCTCACTGGTCCCATCCCATCTGAGCTTGGGAATATGTCACGCCTTGGATATTTGTAAGTTTGATTCAACTTCAAATCAGTTTACGTAACTTTTGCATTCCATATACTAATCTTTTCTGTTTTACTTAACACGATTTGGCAGGCAAGTAAACAATAATAAACTAGTGGGAACTATACCACCTGAGCTTGGGAAGCTGGAGCAAAATGATTGAACTGTGAGATTTTCTTTTATATTGTTTCTCTAAAGTTAAAATGATTTGATAATAATTTTTGATAAATTTGATAATTTTTTT